AAGGGAGGTAGTCCCTATATGTGTTGGTCATAAATAAGCCATCGGCGGATTAGTGCTAGCGAAAGTTGACGGCCTGTACTTTACCGCAGATGCATGTATGCTGAATAATTAATTTTTATTGATCGCGATTGCGTAGTGACACCCAAACAGGCGCGTCTGCCGTTGTTTATTAGTTTTCCGAGGCTTTCCTTGTCCGCGCCTCGTTTGTGGGCCATAAAGGGCTTACGAGGGCCGGGCCCCATTGTTCCCAATGTGCCGCATAATTATCAGCACACACTGTTGATATACTCAGCTGTCTTTGCGACGCTGAGGATGGTGTCAGTGCAAAGGATATGTGGATGCGGATGTGTGGGTGCACTTGCCGCTGTTTGCCCAATTGTATCGCGCTAATAAAGTTAATGCGCTCGCTAAACTGTTGGCCATGACTCGCATTTGGCCCTGATGACCCAGTGCCAACACAGCCCAACCCAGCTAAGCCCGAGCGAGAAGTGCGCTAATTGCCTTTCAATTTGTTGACTGAACCATCCCATTTGGCTTTCCCTTTGCGTGCAGGGCTCTTGGCCCGGCCAGAACAACTAAGTAGTGTAACGGCCAACTTTCAAGTGCTGGCGGAAAATATCGGAGAACGAAAGTTTGAGCGATGCCAAGCTAAACACATAATCGATGTGGCAACTGAATCCAGCTAAAGAGTTCTCGATTTGTGATTACTTCACTCGGTGCGGTGGCTCTGTAGAATGGTTTCAAAATTTAGCTGGAATGGAACTGTGGCAAAAGCCTTTTTGTGGCTGTTCCGAAAATATTCAAGAGCTCGTTACTGGGAATTTAATTTAATAAATTCTAGCTTGACCGCTAACACCGAAACAAATGCTTGCAGTAGCTAAAGCGAGTTTGATGCTGTTTATTTGCCCAGCAAACTGTGTTTTTAATCCACTCGAATGCCTTTTGTGATTATGCTCTGCTGTTTGCCCTATAACCATTGTGCATATTTAAAGTGCACTGAAAAACATGTACACATCTGAATGTAAATATGGAATCGGATGGATGCATTCGCATCGGATTTAGAGACGCATATGCGCTTTTCAAGCGCCTTCATTTCCCATACTGATCTGGCTTTTATGCCAAAGCCATCGCCAAGTCAATGACAACCCAAATATTTGGACAAGGCTCTGGGCGCCGAAGACAAAGGATCCGGATCTGGGCTAATGCCGTGCTGAGCGGCCTCAGGTGGCAGTGCTTCATCCTGCTGCTGGAAAACGCTAGGCCAAATATGCGCCGTAAAACAAATGCGAAATGCGAATGCGAATGCGACTAAGTGCAGTGTGTAACTGCAGCACTCCACAGACAGCAGCAAACTGATTAAATATCCGGGCCGCAGTTGGCGCACGTTCCGCTTGCCATTCACAATCCCTGGCTCAAACGTACACTCAGCATAATGCGAATCCATGTAGGGAAATGTAATTTGAATGCCAAAACAAACAGCGAGCTGGGGAGCCGTTTGAATGGCGGCCAGGAAGGCAGCCTGCCAGGAAGTTGGCCAGGTGCTTGGGCTAAAAAACAAAGGCCGCCGCTGGATATTTACCCACTGCCAGTGCAGCTAACACAGCAGGACCAAAGCAGCAGCAGTTCAGCTTTAGCTGTTGTAAAAGCAGCAGCAGCAGCAGCAGCTGTGGGAGCACAAAACAAAGGCTTGGTAAACAGCCCAGCAATGTGATTAAAAAATAAAGGAACGCAGCACAACAATGGGAAATGGAGCACAGACCCGTACACGGTGACCGTACACGGTGAGAAAATAGCTAAAAAGATTGGTTCGATATGGGGCTAGTTTTAAGCTAATACAAATGCATTTAAGTAATCAAATCTATTTAACATAAATATTTACATTTTTAAAGTATGTAGGGTAATAATTAAATGGCCTAACTCTAATTGACAGGTTTGTAACCTAAAATTCGAATCGTCCTTGAAGTGTGTTTAAGATTATAGCAAGATACATCGTTTAGTGCATATTTTGAGGCAGCCAAATAAAAGATATAAACAAATACTAAATTTTCAATCATTTTTTGAGGCTTCACAACTTTAGGAGCTTTCATCTGGATATATATTTCATGGATAGGTATTTCATGACTTTTAAATGTTTTGAGAAGAAACAAGGAAATGTTAGATGTACTTAAATGTTTAGGTCTGCTTAAGGACTGCTGCTTGAATAGATTTGGCAATATATTTTGGGTTTTCTTTTCATGGCTGTGCAGTCTAAAGTTGACAGTTTTTCCAGCGGGACTCACCTCGTAGCGTGTGTCGATTTCTGGCAACTTCTCCAGGAACTCCTCGACCATCTTTCGTTGCACGTGCGCCGAGCACAGCAGCCACACACATACAAGCCCCCACGCACTCACACACACACGCACACGCACACACACACTCACACACACACACACACGGTCAGCACGCAGCACACGGATACGAATACTATTCAAATTGACACGCACTAAATTAAAGTTTCTGCTTATCAATTATGGACAAATGCTAATTGCTCCCGCTGAGCTTAATTATTTTGTGGCTCTTTGATATTGGCAATAGATAAAGCTGAAACACCTGTTGTTGTTTATGGCCTATTGGCTTTTTACAGAATATAGAATTCGGATGTCACACACTGAGAAATTCGTAGGTTGCTGTTCTTTTTTGTGGCTGTATTGACCGCCTGACTGTTGGCAGTCGATCTAAGATTAATCTAAGGTTTTTGCACTTTCCGTTGATGTCTTGTGTGATTGTCTTTGACCCCTCCTCTTATTGATGGCGAGCAGGGGGTGTGTGTTGTGTATTCCTGGTCACTTGGCACTCGAATCGGGCGGTAGTTTGGGCGAAGAATCGAAGTTACAAAAATGCAATATTATCGGGAAGTGGAGAGGAAAGAAGCTGTAGCGGAACCAAAAACATGTGCCAAAACTCCCTCGAAAAACGGCAGCTCAACTTTTTCGGGCTCTGTGTGTGCGAGAGACCAACAACCAACAAGCGCTGTCCGTTCACTGCCGTTCAGCACTAACAACAAACTGCAGAAAAACAAAACATTTATAGCCAGGCCAGGCACGAGTCGCGTCCAAAGTCCTCGTCCGCATCGCACTCATCGCCATCGCCATTGCCATCGTCATCGCCATCGTCGTCGTATCGACGGCCCGAGCATCAGCATGTTCTAAAAACCGCCTGGCATTCCATGCAGCATCTCACTCTGGAGCGGCGCAAATTGACGGAAGCCGATGATGCTGGCCGATAAAGAGTGTGGCAAAAAAGTGTGGCGCGCTTTTAGGCGCCGGCGCAAGGCAGCTCAGCCGAAAGGGGCACACGGAACTCCTTCGCTCCTTCGCTCCGGCCACACGGCCAGTATGTATATGGAATTCTGGGCATTCCCCTCACAACGTGACACACATCGAACTCCGGAGCTTGCGTTCCAAGGCAGCAGGAAAACAGCATCCAGTGGATCGCGATTCGAGTGCCAAGCGCCGAGTGCCGAGTGCCGGAGTTGCATGTTGCATGTTGTGCACTGTGCTGTACCTTTGTTTTGCCAGCACTTGGAAATAATTTGCAGCTAACGAAGGCTGCGCCACTCAAAAAGAAGTCTCTCGCTGGAGGACCCTCCTTCCACTCCACCTGTCCATCCAGCTCCATCTATTGCTGCTCCAGCCAGCGCGCTTTTTGTCCACGGCAGTGGGAAGCCCCCATGTTTTTCTAAGCCAACTCGGAGGCGAGCAGTTATCATTAATCTCGAGCACTGCACACACGCTCTCAATCGATTGCTGTCAGCAGGTCGAGTTTGTCTAGCAATTACCACCAGAAAAACAACAATTACTTCCCGGGGAGTTCTCCTCCCCATGACGACTATAACGACCCTTGGGGCCCCACTTAGCCAATTTAATCAGGAGCAGGTAAACAGCTTGTTAAAGAAAGCACTGCCTATCTTGATGATAAAAGAATCTTAACTTAGATCAATCGATCTAAAGATGTATATACATACTTCAAATATGTATTCACACTTTTTTTAATTTATATATTTAAACATATTTCAACGATATATTTGAACCTCACTAAAGGCTAGATCAAGCATTCCAAATTAATGGCTATACTATCCTACAGCGGCCATAATTTACAGCTATCTGGAATGCAAAGCCAGGAAACAGTGCGTTCTACTTCCCAAGCACTTACCGCACTCATTGCCGCCATGTCCTGCCCGTTCGCAAGTCAATATTTAATAGCCAAGTTGAACTACGACCGCACCACACTCGCTGGCCAGTCGATGAACACTGAACGGAGCTCGGCTAATCACAGTGAAATGGTCGCCGCGATAATGCAACAATTGGCTGCCCGCACACACTCACCGCAGGTCCTTGCCATATCCTTTCAGAATGTCAAAGTCGAACGTGGGGAAAAAACACAATTACTTGTCAACAGACCAATACCAGTGCATTCGAAATCAAAATACGTGGCGACTGAAAAGCAAATCTCAGCAATGTGGCGGTTTAAAGTCCTTGAACGCAGCTGCCTAAATGGGTTTTTGGTTTCCAGGCTCGCAATGAATTATTTACACGGCAAACAGGTGAATTAGCAAAAGCGTGGGCGTGTGTGGGTTCAGTGAAAATATGACAGAAGCACGTACATACGTATTGGAAAGCCTTAGATTATTAGCGAAGTGCGTTTAAAGAGCTATTTTTAAACTAGCCGCCAACACGTTAAACCATTTCAAATTAAAGGTCATCTAGCTGCATGCCGTGAAATTGTGTTTGCTTAACAAATTGATATGTTTTTCAATAATAACAATTAAATTTGCAATTAAATTGTATATTCAAGGAAACAGTCATTAAAGCGTCAATGGCCAAAGGCCAAATAATTTGTTATCACTGAACTGACTGCCATAATAACTAGGGAATTAAAATTTCGATGACTTTATATAACGAGAACAAAATGTTTATTTCTCAGTGACAAGGAGGCTTTCGCTCGTTTAGCTCGACGTCGAAATGGATTCTGGAATGCGTGTGATCGTACTTGTTTTTTTCATATTTTTAGTGGAACAGGTAAAGGTATTTATTTTCAGAATACTTAAATCATGTTTGAACGAAGCAACTACAGGTTCGTCCGAAGGTGGAGTTTACCAACATCAGATGCACTTCCTTGGACCCGGAATTCGCCATCGTTGAGCATTGCTATCTAAAGTCAGTAAATCGTACATATAAATACCTGTCCTTGAAAGTGAATCTGTTAAAAAAGCCCGTTACCAGAATTAAAGTAAGTAAATTGTCTTAGCTCCTATTGCTAGTTCTTATTAAGCTTCACCGTTTGAGGTCAACGGAGCCACATGGAAACGATATAATGGCTATAAGCCGTCCCTTTATAACATGACAATTGATGCCTGCAAATTTCTTAAGAATCCTAAGTCAAACCCCGTTGCGGATTACATTCACACGCTCTTCAGAACTTACTCCAATATGAATCACTCCTGCCCCTTTAATGTGAGCGCGTTCTCATACCGATTCAAAAATGCCACTCATATTTTAAACTTGTTTGTTTGCAGCACGATGTTGTTGTAGATAAGCTGCCAATTAGTTTCGTTAACAACCAAGTAACAGCAGTACTCCCAGTGCCGCCTGGAGACTACATGTTTCAATCGCATTGGTATGCCTACGATATCAACCGCGCTACTGTAAGCGTTTATATGACAATATATTAATGGTAATTTATCAAACCCATTTGTTAAACTGCTTTAAACTAAAACTTCTCGGTTGCGCGCCAACATTTTAAACAACTTGTCAACAAATGCTGATGGATGCAAAACCCTCACTGCTTTAGGGGACTGCAATGAAATTATGCCCGCTATAAAACTTATATGGGTTGTATAGTTGCTTCCCTCCCTCTTCATGGTGTCAACTGCTTTCTTGAAGCCTAGCAAAAGCTGTTTGCTGGAAAACTAAGTATTTTTCGGCGCAGTTAACGCGCACTGCATGCACAAGTTGAAAGCAGTGAATGCATACGTTCATGAGCTCAAAGCAGTGGCTCGAACTTCAAGTTTAAAATATGAGAAATAATAACACGTACGTTTTGCAATATGTATTTTGAAATGACTTTTATATAATTTCTGACAAACTTGAACATTTAATTAATTTTATTACACATTTATTAAATTTCATTTGTTACAATTTTCGTTCGTTCATCGTTTTTAGCGTTCGCGGACCGTACACTTTCCTATTTGTTTTTGATATTTCATGTTAACGTTCCTGGCATTTCTGTTCCCACTTATCTTATTAATAAAGTATATCTATATAAATGTAATGCATATGCAGATTTAGATTTTCCATCAATTGGCTTTACTGGAATTTTGGGATCAAAACGATTTGATAGCTTTTAAATACATACATTAAAAAAAATAGGTAATTACTATAATTTTTCGTTTGCCCCTACGTACATATATATACTTTATAATAAATATTTCCGTCCATTGTTATGCGGCCTACATCAAATTCAATATTTGGTTTGGTTATTCACTGATTTCACAAAGCACTTGAATCGTCAGCTTGTGTGCTTTTTATGTAGTAGTTTTCAATAAAGTTATCGTTTGTTAAGTACTATTGTAGTTTTCTTACGATTTAAGAGTTGTGCTTAAGGTAATGCGCTCCTTTTATTGTTGCTGCTGGGTTCGCCTGGTGTTCTTGTTTGATTTCTGGTTTTGGATTTTCTGTTTTCGGTTATCTGTTGGTGAGCGATTCGCATTGGATGTACATGACTATCAGTAGAGTCCTTAGATTAGTTACACTTCATATGATACGAATGATTGTAGGCAGGTGGTTGGTGGTTCACTTGACTTGCAATGTTCCGTTGTGTTCGTCCCGACAAAAATGCTACCTATCATTAATCAGCTAACATTAAAGATAACTACGAGTTTATACTAAGGCATAACGAAACCCTAAAACTGAACAGCCAAAGAAACTAAACGTAATCAATCCATCGAGTGGTGCTAGTCAAACTAGCTGAGGCCTGTGGAGCTCGTCTGGGCCACCTCGGAAAAGTTGGCACTTGGCACAACAGGTGCGGATCTGGAAGCGGAGGATGCAAATGCGTAGGCGGGTTGGGTGAGCAGTGGCCTCTGGATTCTTTCCAGCGCCATCTGCCAAATGGCCATGCTTTCGTCTGGCTTAATCGCGTGATTCGTGAAGAGGAACGGGGGATCCTCAAGATCGGCTCCACCGCCGACCAGGTTGCGAACGTCCTTCTGCTCGAGGTAATGCTTTAGCTTGGTGATCTTGCTGCCCGTTTCCTCGGCCAGGATCCCCGTGATGAGTACATCGTCCACCCAGAAGTATTTGGACTTCTGGGCCGCCTCGTACAGTCGACGCACCACGTCCGGTGCATAGACAATGGCCATTCCGGGACAGTATTCCGGATAGAAGCGATTCGGGTACTCCTTGTAGGTCACCCGCCATTTCGACTGGAAATGAAGAAATTGAGGTTATTATCTGCGATAAGATAGCACTATTTTTATTGTTATCGGACAGTTGACAAAGTAGCCAATCTTCTTTAGCGGTAATTGGATTTTAATTATATTTTAAAATATTTTCTGGTACTTTGTCAAATGGCCTTGAAGGAAGCAATTTGGCAAAATGTTTATGTACTACTTACACGATATGAACGCTTCACCCTCGACTGATGGACGGATCGACAGAGCATCAGATTGGGATCACGGAGCATGGAGTACTCGGGCAGCGAGGGAGTCGCCAAGTACTTGACCAGCTGCGGTGTGTTCATGAACACATCGTCGTCCACCTTCACCAGCAGCTGGGCATGCGCACACTTCTCGTTGAACCATTTGAGAGCCATGACATGCTTGTAGGTCATGTTGCGATAGGCGTCATCGAAGTTCCCCTGGATGAGGTCGCCGTGCAGGTGGTTCTCCCGTCCCAGGAACTGTTGCCACTCCGCGGCCTTTCTACCCACTCCGCCCACCAGGAAGAAGACCTTCAGCGGGGTCTGATCTATATAGCTACGATTCGCCCACGTTTCCCGGATGATCCGGCGCTTGTCGACATTGCGCACTGCCGAATGAACCAATATCAGTACCCGATCGTCCTTATCACAGGCGGGCTGGTCTATCAGATAGACGAAATTGGGCAGATCCATGAGGTGCATGCTGCTCTGCGGGGGCGTGGGCGTTTGTGATGCCAGCATGGATGGCGTGCCCATAAGGTGGTTGTCGAATGTGTTGCTAACTAGGCTACTATCATTACTATTAATATTGGTGCGACTAGGCTGGTGTATTTGGTTTGGTTGGCTCCTGCTCCTCCGCAATCCACTTTTGGCACTCGGTGGCGGCTGTGCGGTGGTGCTGCTGCTGCCGCCAATTCCGCTGATAACTTCCGCTTCCAGCATCGGCGACTGCTGCACACTGACCAGCCAGATGACCAGGCACAGATTGATGCAGATGAGCAGCAGGCACAACGATCGCTTGTCCATCCTAGCGGCTTCTAATTGGATCTAACTCTATTTCCGGGCACCTCAGACGGTTGCGTTTTCTGCGTGCCTTGGCCATTTAACTCCAGATCCAAGTGGCTGCAACGGCACAAAGGAAAGGGAAATGTAAACAGTTAGTAATCGGCCACGGAATTGCCACTTAAAACCCACTTCCCACCAGGCTATCGCCAGAGCGATAATCACCCGAAGCATTAGGGCAATTGCTGGCCGCATGACATGTGGCCAATTTTCTAAATGGCCAGCAGCAGGTGTCAACAGGTCGCACATGAATTAGGTGAAGAGCATTCTTCCTGCTCTTCCTGTACTGGAGAAGTTCAACGAACTGACGTCATGCTTTTACCTAATCGATGCCAATAAAACGCTCCTGCCATAACTCAATCACAGCTATATGAATTCCCGGTGACTTCCAAACGCGCACTGAATTATTATTTTTCGACAGTTTCCTTCCAATAATCGAGAGTGAAAAATGCTCAAGATAACTTGAAATTATTGATTTATGGGCCGCACTTTCGATTGCTTTGTCAATATCGATAATGGAATTCCACGAACTTGGGCACAACACTGACAGCTAAAACGGTGACGTCCTATGACTAAAATCTTATCAAAAACGAGTAGGTAATCGTTATGGTTGTGCATACATGCTAATTGCCTGTACTATAAATGCTGGCGGCTACTTGGACTCGATCAGTTTTAAATACATACAAATATGTGCCCACCAAACATGGGTGCTATCACTGAAGACCCGATATGTAATTACCTAATTATACAATCTTGGGGAAAACCAGTGTTAAGTAACTATGCTTATGATTATTGAAGAAAGTGTGTGTACTGTTTCTTCAAAACATTGACCCATTATTTATGTTGTCCTTCTAAATACCCAAGACACCCACATAACTCAATTATTGTTTTGCAGTTAGTAGAGCAATATTCTGAGCGATTTATTACTGTTATGTAATGAAATCGATTAAAAAGCTTTGACAACGTTGCAATTAGGTTTTTCTTATCAGTCAATATTAGTTCCTATCTTAAGCGATAAATTAGACATATTTTTTAAAGCTATAATTACTTTTTGGACGGAAAATGGCTTCCAAAGAGTTGTGAAAGCTTTCTAGCAGCTCAGTAAAGTTAAGCCAATAATTATTTGTATTGTTCAACTCGAATATGCAGTGTTTGTTTTTATGCAGCTTACTGAACTTTTCAAGATTATACTTTTAAATAAGGTTCTCTTCCCGCTGCATATATGTTTCTGATATTTTCGAAGGCAACCGGAAGACGCACTCATGCACATGTCCGTAGATAGCGCCACGGAATAAAGAAGGAGCAATTCCCCAGACTCGAGACCAAAAAGGCAGGCTGCGGTTTCCACCAGTCACGTATTTGAGTAAACGCTGCACATGGGCTGTGCACATTGTAATTGAAATACGACGTACGACGGCTCCGAGGAATATGCACATAGTCGCTTCCTAACTCACACTTGGCTAATTATCTGGCTCGGAAACTCTCCCAGGGTACTTTATTAACAAACGTTTGTAAACGCTTTATATCTAATCGAGCCAGACCGTTTTCGATAAGATTATTCCCAAATTGGAAGATTGGATGTACCCCTATTCCGCTGTGTGATACCGAAAGTAATCAACATTTCATTATCATTTCCTATCGAAAGCGTCTAAAATTTGAGGGCGGAACGTCGCTACGTTGCACACGCGAAACGTTATAAAATTTTTATATTTATGTAAATTTACCGATTCAATAGTCCGCCATAGACATGGTTAATGTAAAAGAACCGTACTAGATGGTGATTATTGTTCTATGTTAGCACGCAATGGTTGCCGTGTCCTTAGACTTCTGCCACGCCAACTACAAATACTCAGATCTGGCGCAATTGTAAGGGAGTTGGGGTTTTAGCAGCCGGATGCGACGGCCTCAAGATATGCAAAAACTAAACACAATTGAACTTTTGACCTTAGCCAGCTGTATGGGAGCAGCAAACTCGTCCAAAAACGTACTTCGTATCCTGCCAAGGCCAAAGTGCAATGCAAAATGAAGTTTTGCTGCAGTTGTGACTTCGAGGGTGGTTTCATCACAAATTGACTGCCAGCAGTCACGACATTCGGGTTGTTAAGGATATTAAAAGTAAGTTGAAAGTACATACGTACACTTTAATCAAATGAAACACATTTTTCATGTTCTATGTTCATGTTTAAGTGAAACGACATTTGCATTCCTCGCGTGATGTACTTAAAATACTTTGAAAAATGAAAAACCGTACTCGTGGTGTATAATGGCTTGTTCTAAATATCTCATATTCAATTAAGCTCAACAATCAATCGATTTTGTACATGCGTGCCTCACTGACCTTATCTGGGTCATTAATAACAGAGATAGTTATCTGACGGTCACCCTAGAAAGGTCCGGAGAAAAGTCATCTTCATAAATTATCTGACTGACCTGCACACCGTGACATTTCTGAGCATGATATGAATTCAATTAAGCAATTGCTTTATTGACCTTTGAATTTCCATTCCCATATATACAGAAATTGCCATCAAGACAAAGGCAGAGATCACAATATGGAATAAATAATAAATACAATTATTATCGGAATTCTTATCGTTATTCTTATCTTTTGATATGTTGTAACACTTCTTTGTGCCAACGCTTTCCACATACCTCACCTTTTTCATTGAGGTACTCACACCTCTCGTGAACTTTACAAAAATAAGCCTAGACTATGAAAAGTGGTCGTGGTTGTCTATTTGGGGATGGGATTGTAGAGCTGGGACGTCTGCCAAAGGCTGGCATTTTGCAGTCGATAAAAGGCCAACAGCAACAGCAACACCGAATAACTTTTTCAAGTCGAAGGTTAAATTTTATCGTGGCCCGAATGGGCAACAAAAACGGCAACGGCGACAGCCACAATGGATGGATAGATTCGCCTGCATTTCTGCATTTTGGGCCGACGTCTTCTATTGTTCATCTGGTATCGTATCGGGCTTTTGATTAGTTACCCACCGGCAGTTTCCCTCGCTGGGATGGTATCGGTTTGCTTTCATTGAATGGCACTGGTTGCAGGTTGGCACTGCAAAACTTGGCTGCTGTCCAAAAAACACTTTGAATGCCTGTCAGGTTGTCCCTTGTATACTCACTTGTATACAATGCAACTTTCACGTGCAGCAAATGAGACTAGTGGCAATTGCCATCAATCGGGAGTACCATATTTATAAGCCAAACAAATAAATACAATATCGGGCCCTTCACAAGCCATAATATCCATTATTCAGACTCATTACAAGGCAAGCTCGTGCCATCGCGCGGTAATTAGCAAAAAAATAAAAAATAAAAAAAAACACATTAAAGTATTGCAAGGTAAACATCGAGCTGGAAATTGCAGTTGAAATTACCACTTGGAGTTGCCTTAGATGAGAAGTTACATATACGCACAAACTGAAAGTGGGGAAAGTGGCTGGGTTTTTATTTTATATTTTGTAAGTCTGGTTCTGCTAAGCAGGTAGAGATTAGTTTATGGCGAAAAAAACCACAATCAATGTGTATAACTCTATAACCGGTTTTTGGTTTGTGCAAAAGCAACGCAAGTCACGTTAGCTCAAAATGATTGAAAAGTATTTTCATTAAACAAAGAAATGCAATCTTCCGCCAGATTAAAAATAAACTAATCATATGTTTTTTTAATCTGCGGATTAAACGCCCCTAAATGCAGCCTTTAATTATAATCTGGACCACTTTTCATGAGAATTTCCGTTCAATGCACTTACATAACTATGATAACTTCTCGAAGCGCTTATTGGTGATATTGCAACTTGTATTTGCATTCGAACATTTCATCTGAATGTGAAAGAAAAAGCGCTATTATTTGCTTGGAATCTTCTCAAACTGATGCGGGGCTATTGTTCACGCACCAAAGTGTGGCAACTTCTGGGAAACGGAGGCATGGATATGCGCCCGGCTGGAGATCGGGCATATATGTGTCACTGCAATCTGAAGACATCTCGAGATCCCAGCGAGCGTTGCATTCGCCACTTGGCCTCCTGCCGCCGCCGTCAAATGGGAGTCAAGAACTCAAGCATTAAACATTAAAACCCCGTCGCCGGCCAAACAAATGTCCCTCACATGTTGATGCCTCCTCACAAATGTAGCCATCCATGTGCGCTTACAAACATGGAGATTTTATGTGTACACATGCCATATGCAGACACACTTCGAGAAAACCATTCGGACGCAATTAATTTGATCAAGAATTCGGGTCTCAAGGTCTGATGAATGAAGCATCAATTTATTCTTAAATGGTCAATATCATATCTACTTTGTACTTTATATGATATCTACTTTAGATATATGAAATTGCAAACAAAATCGTTGTATATTTTTATATGTATTATTATTTGCAAGGATCTAATTGGCAACTATTTACAGTTTGGACCTTTAATTGTGGCTTTAATTCGATTTTCTGAGTGCATGCATCATGCTGAGCACCACCGAAAACTCGCCCTGTCCCAGATGTCGAAAAATGTGAGTCAGCGGCTTGAAGGAGTTTCGCAGACTGGCGGAAAAAAAAACAGAACGGGAGAGGAAAAGTGGTAGGAGGCCTCGGAAAAGCCCAGTCGAGTTTTCTGCTGCCAACATGCCGCAATTACAACATGCTGAGGGAGTTTTCCCCTACCAACAACAGCGTTTTGCGGTGCAGTGCGGTTTGTGGGTGAAACTGCATAGGCCGGCTTTGCAGAGCAAACTTTTCCCATTTTCATTTCCATTTCCATCCACAACAGCACGCACACTCACGTGGGCCAACAAATTACGGGGCAATGCTGAATAACGATGCCAGACAGATATTTAGGCGAATGCAACTTAGTGGGGGTGTGGATGCCACTTGCATGCAATTGCAATCGCAATCGCACGTCGGGCATCGCAGCCAACGGATGCGGATGCAATCTGCCCGAGCCTCCGAGCGTTTATCCGCCGCCTTCTCTGGACTTACGAGCTCTGTCTTGCCCAATTCCTGTGGTCGGTGGCTTGGGCGTTGGCCTGCACTCGCAGAAACTAATCCAAGCCGCATGGCGAAGACGGCCAGAGTTTCAGTCAAATGAAGCCATCTTAACCCCGGATACATACATCAATTTTTATAAACTAATCTTATTGTAATATGCAACTTCCCCTTGTTTAAATTACACATAAGGGCACAGTTTAGTATTCGCGAGATAAGCAATGAGAAGTACAATGTTGGGAATGCAATGGCAAACAGGAACTTGAAGCGTTCGAGATGCAAGACCGCGGGGCCGTTTCTTGCAGTGTATAGGCGCAAGCCCATAATTAACTCATCCAGTGCAGCTTGCGGTTGTGGAAAGTACATAGTTGCATGTATTCGCTATTCAGGACACGGATGGCGAAGTTTCCTGTTTTGCACATAAAGTGCAGGGCATTACTCATAACCCCCAAGGAGGGATCATGTGAAGTGGGAGGGTGGCAGGACGGTAGTGCAATATGGCGGCGACAAATGTATTCAGCTCGATTGAAGGACACAAGGGGCTGAGTGACAAACTGGCGACCCCACAAATTGGCAATTAAAATAGTCTGTTCTGCAGTGGAGGGGAATAAAAATGCGAAATAGAGAAGCCACGCCCAGCCGACGTCCTGCCCACTTTATGGACTTCCTTCAGGGTTGGTCGCTCCCGTCCCGTCCCGTCTAGCATGCTAAATAATTTATGAATACACATTTCCCGGCCGCGTATGAAAATTTAATAACGCGCCTTTTGTTTACCTTTTCACGGGCCGAAAGTCCAGTTTCAGAGCCCCAAACAAGAAGTGTTTTTTGCACGCACTCGCAGAGTTCTTTGGGATAAGGTACTCGATTAGAAACACACTGCATATGTATATTTGTATATATTTGTATATTCAATGGGCAACATAAAGAACATATAATAAGGCAAAAGCAACTGGTCGACGTTTTGGTGGGCCCCCTGGGGCAAACATTCGAAATGCTTGTGTGATGACTCATTTTTCTTGGGGTTTTCAAGTTCAAATTTCTGGAAATTCGCTCACTTCGGCTCTACATTTGCACTTATGCAAATTGGTTGCTGATAAAAAAATAAAGGTAAAAAAAAACATTTTTTGCTGGACTTGCAAGTAGTCAAGTCTCATTTCCAGAAACATGTATCTCATAAATTTTGACGAAAATGTTGTTAAGGTACAACTGCAGAGTACAAATTTCGCGGATGTCTGGTTTCTATCATTTACGCAGGCAATAAATAAATTTCAAGTACTTGCAATGTTTATAGAATGTATCCATATGAGCAATTTGTAAACAAGTGGGAGAAGAGAGGTACTAATATATGCATGTTTAAGTTAAAAAAACAATTTTCGTGATACAAACATAAACATTTAAACTATATTGGTATGCCTTATCTATTCAAATTTATACGATGTGCGATGGAAAGGAAACAATAAGATGATCAAACATTATTTTTAATTGAACCATTGGAATTTAAGTAACACATGTGAATCACATGATGAAAGGCAATGAAAATTACATTCGATTACTACAAGATTAGATTATAGCGGATACTGGCACCTTGATAAAGACCAAGCCCCGCTTTCTTTAAATTAAACAGGTGGCAAGGGAATCCTTAAAAAAATCGATTAGTTTCATTTTCTTTTTGAATTCTTATAACTAAATTCTGTGGAACAAGTCATTTTGGGAAATACACTTTTTTCAGTTTTTGTTTTTACATATTTTAGAAATTCTTGAAACAATAAGTGTAAAATTATGCATGATTCAATGAAATGCTCAGAACTGAATAATAATTATGTGAGTCAAAACATGTAAACATTTTTTTTAGATTTTTCAAATGCCAGTTTACTATTGCAAATCTCTCGAAATTGTGGTATTAATAATAAAAAGCAGTTCGTACGTGTCGAAATATTGTGAGTAAGAAACGGGAGTAAAAGAGAAAGCAAAAAGCTTAAAACGCTTACGGTGACGTGACGTTACGTCGGCGGAGAACCCCGGGGTCACTGTACGGACCAATAAAAGTAACACTGCCGACGTCTAACGCTTCGCTCCGCCGGTTATCAGTGGGCCAGAAGTCGCAAACGGGTGAAAAGCGACGACATCAGCTGATTCGCAAACAAACAGCCAAGCAAAGCGAAGACAATGTTCTGTTGGGCCACTGATTAAAGCGTTAAAACACATTCGACAGAGACGGTCGAGCGAGTGGAGATAAGTGTGGGGAAAAGGGAAAGCGAGAGCTTCTCGCGGAAGCTGGCGCAATTAAAAATCAGAGCTTCCCCAAACGAGCATGTGATTGAAAACTTAAAGCGGCAATGCAAACAATGAACTTTATACTGACCGGAATGATTGTATATATAGCGATAGTATATATCAATATATTAAACTACTTTAAAATTCACAAAAAAACGCTTCAAATCGAAAATAGTACCTATCATTGACGATTTGGTGGTGCTATCTTGGTGGGACTCGAACACGGACTTCTTACAAAGTTCTATGTTATTTCAGATAACAAATCTACTAATAATATGATGTACGTAATATTTTACGTACATCGAAATGATAGTGATTTGATTGATACTAGGCCACATTGATATAGAAATTGGTTACTTTAATTGATAAGCGATATATCGGAACAAGTGAGGATTCCACTGTACCTAAGTCATGAGGTAGGCACTCCAGCCGTCTTGAGCAAACATTTCGACGAGAGCAAGGCGGACAAAGAGATATAAAGACGGAGACGGAGCGAGGCGGCACAGTGGGCAGGCCAAGGACACGGCGCTGAAAAGGGCGAAAAGGAGCAGAGGAGCCAAAACGGAGGACGACAAACAGGCATGCGTGCCACTGTGCCTGAACTTGTTCAAGGTCAGTCCTCAGCGACAGCGACGTGCTAAAAAAAAACGAAGGAAATTCATAATGGAAAAAAGTACAAAGAAAGACTACAGAGCACACAACAAAGCAGCTTAAAGGCGACGAAAAGAGTGAAGAGATACATGGTATAGAAATAACAAAAAAAAAACAAAAACTGACATAAAACAGAGCGAGTGTCCGCCCCTGCAGCAACAATCACAACAATGGGATGCTGTTCAATAGATTCTGATAAGAAAACCGAAAAGACAAAAACGCTCGAAAGACGAAGGAGATAATATCCAAGTACTCGGATAATTAATTTAATAAATATTATGTATTTTTGATGTATGTATAAGTCACCTGCTGGTTATTTGCCCGGCTGCCTTCTCATTTGCCAGCCACTCGTATCCTTGCGAGAGAGTGAGGGAGATGGCAGCTAAGGTGCGTTTCTTAATTAATTTCCATGTGAAGCACTCACGCACACTTGCACACACCCATTGCTTTGGGTAACAGTTTAAAAACGGAGTTAGAGCGAAAGAGACACCACTTGGAAGTGCTAATTCCACACACACGCGCACATAGCACCGAATTTGTATAGATTTTTGGCATCAATTTGTTGTTGGCAGGTGAAATAAATTTGTTTAACACAATTTTCAAGCTCTTACACGTACACACACACGCACACGAACACCAATGCAGACGCGGCGAAAAGGAATGCAAAAGGAGATGAAGAGGAAGAAGAAGAGGCTGAAGGATGCTGGGCCTGGATTTCTCTTTCCTATTTTCGCTGCCCAAAAAGGCGTTGACGACACTCTAATTCACTTTCAATTCGTTTAACAACGGTGTTGTCTGCATGTATTTGTTTATGCGCTTTTTAAGAACTAAAGAACAACAGAATAGCCGCCGCCACTCATCAATTCTCGGCGCGGCTACTGTTCACTTATTATCATGTCATATTTTTTAACCGATTTGAAATAGAAAGGCGGTATTTGAAATGATTAGTTTACCGTGCGATTTATCAGCGACGTGTGCAATTTTTATGTATTTTTTGTTTAATTTTAAGTGGTACGATACACAGCGCGTTTCAGAGTGCGCTGAATTGTTTTTTGCGCGTTCGGAACCGAGTAACTGAGAAGCGTAGCGTTATTACTAGTATTCTTCTTCTTTTTTGTTGCTGGCTCGTTCGGTTTCTCTCGCACTGTTACCCGCTCTCAATTGCTGTTAAGACGGCGAAATTCACTGTTAAGTTTCACAGAGGCGATGGTATTTTTTGCTAATAAGAGGTGTTTGGGGGATGGCGTCATATAATTTATTGAATATTTCGAGTTTAAGGAAAACATAAGTAACTGCTTTTTTCTACTAGTTCAATAGGTAATTTTTTAACATATTACATATTATTTTTATTACGAATATATATTATTCGCAGATCATGGCCCATGCACGAGAGCATGTATACGCCACTGTAATGTTATCTGCGAGCGGGCGATAGGGATGGAACTTAGGCATTGACACGCGTATAAAATTAAAGTGACCATTTCTGTGACCATATCTCTCATATCTAGCTTGTCGTGCTTTTTGAGATTCATGTGCCCACAATTTCTATCGATTGATTGGAATCTAAGAACAATAAGTAATGATAATTCATTTATGTTTAGATAGATGTTTAAACATTGTCTGGATTGTACTCAAATTGTATATTGCCAACCAAATATTAAATATATTTTCATAAGTAATCTTATATTAATAAATAATTGCTTGAATAACAATTTAATATATAAACATTAAATAATATATATATATATATATATTTTAAAATTTTACCTGTCAATATGAGCCATAAAGTACATTTACAGTTATCTATTTTGATATGGGTGTTTTAAAATATTGGAAAAATGTTAAAGATGGTTTTATAAATACATAATTACGAAAATCCCTTAAAATTGCAAGAAAAAAAATTGATTTAAATTCCTTATGCTAAAATAACATACATATCAATGTTCTTCAACATTGTCTATCGATAGGCGCCCTGCGTTGCAACTGCCATCTGCAGATGTGCAACAAAGGAATGCAGCAAGTAGCCGATAATAAAAGTTTGCAAAAATGAGCGCAGCAAAAGAGGAAGATGACAGCTTAGTTCCCACGGTCAGAGAAGTGCAGCAAAAGTTTGCCGACATTTTAGGCCATGACAACGGTATAACCTGGGATCTGTAAGTACGAAGCATCTGAAATTATTTCAAATTATAAAGCTTAAAGCTCGCAGAATATCGCCGAGTCAAAAAAATGTGTTGGAGGAAAAGTTATCTCAGCTCCATTGCCATTCGAACATGTTTAATTGGATTTGGAGTAATAGTGAGTAAATAATGAATATTCATAAGCGCAATTATGTTTACTATCTTCTCATATCAGGTATATATTCAAATGGGCAGTCCCTCACGTCTTTATTTTTCGTGATGCTTGTGGATAACGTACGTGATTACAAACTGGCAGAGCAAAGTAGGTCCTGGCGTCTATATCCGGTATTTCGATGTCGACGATGTGTGGGTAAGCTTGATATATCTAAATAAATCACAAAATGCTAATTATTTTATATTTGTACAAGATGAAACTGGCCAGGCCAGTAACATGGACTGTTGCATGTCATATGTGACACAGTACAGATCTGCTAGCTCCTGGAAAGGATTTTTGAAGAGTAACGGGTTTGGAAGTGGTCTAATAGTCTCCCCGCATCTTGGAGTTTACAAGCAAATCGATGGTCAGGTTGAGCTAAAAACGTATTCTACCACTGAGATATTGTACCCAGATACAGTAAATCTGCCAATAACGCCCGAATCATTAAAAAAAGCCTCGAAAATGAGTATTAAACATACCAAATTCGTAATACAATCCGATCATCCATTCCGGGCTATCCCTGTACCAGTTTATGACTTTTGCGCCTGTGAAAAGATGCTTAATGTGATTCTGGTACGATCTTTCTATTAACTTACATTTTAATTTGTGAAAAACGTTTGTTTTTTTATCTAGAATCCTCTCAGTGCTTTGCAATCTTCTGATGTAGTTGATCTATCGGATTCCTTATTATTATTTACAAATAATGTTAACAATTCACGCCTCGGCTCATTGATGAAGAGTAATAATAATGATCCTAGCATCCTTATTAATCATCTAAGGTAGGTAAGAAATAGATCATATTGCACAAGCTCTAAATAGCCTTTCTAGAACGGTGTGGAATAAGATTGCTGAGGAATCTATTCGCATTGAGGACAATGTGCATCTTATTCGTAATGGAAACGGAGTGCCTACAAAAGCGGACCTAGATAACCTATTTCGCCTAGTTGATAGCAAGAAAAACAAAAAAAAAAGTATGGAGCCTAAGAATCCAGGAAATAAACCATTTGATCTTCCAGAAATTGTATCTATCAGAGTCAAAGGAGAAGATATTAACCTAAGAGAATTCGGAATTTATCTTAAAGAACATATTGCAAGCTCAGAGAGCTTCGACATTTTGATAAGTTGCATGTCAGAGCATTTGGAAGTTGATACTTTCAAGCTTATTATGCAGCTTACGCAAACATTTGTGGAAAATGTGAGGGAGGAAATGTGCCAAATACTGAAATATTATTTTCCCACGGAATCCATTTTATATCAGATAATATTGTGCATAAGTAAACATTATCCAAACTGGAACTTTAATGAAATTGAAGAGCATTCATCGAATATTTTACGGCGCGTACGAATGTTTTTTGCCTCTACCGGACCGAATTCTCGTACTGAGTTTTTAAAGAAATGTAAAGATTGTACTGGATACTATGACAAATGCAATTTTACATAAGACATTTTGATATTTCATTTTGTGAGTTTCACTGCCAGCCAATTATTTATATTGTAACAATGTTACTAAAAAATCCACCAGTGTATTTTTGTATCTCTGCAAAAAAAAAACAGCCAAAATAATTTGAATAAATAATTCAGATTTTCAAATGTTTTTAACAGTTGTATATTCTGTGCAGGGACATAATGTGTTTACGTACATACAATACGCATTACAAAGTAAATTTACAGCTAGTGATTATCTTAATAATGTATGGTTTCCACCGAAGTACAGGATATACGTATAAGTAACTTTGACTAAGACAAGACTAAGTCTAGTGATTCGATAATAATGATTAGTTGTACATGAAAGCAATCACAATTGTCAGATGGAGGCGTGTGCGGTGACCTTAACGATCTAATTTAGGGCTAGCATCTTTAGATAGTTTTCGGCTTGCTCTGCCGTCGATTTAGCAAACTGGAAAGATTGCTGAAGGGCAGCTCAAAGGCAAGCGAAAAGAGGATGGAGGCCAGATAGACTATGACAGCGAAGCCGCAGGTGACCACGCACTGAAATTGATAAAAATGTTAATAAAATTTTTAGCATTTTTCATTTTTCAATTTTAAAGCATTTAGGATGCGAATTGATCAAATCATTTTTTTAAAGGTGTCTAAGGGTAAGCTACGATAAATTTAAATTGATGCCTTAATTTTTTGTTCATAGTTCTGGGTACCTATTACCAAAGAAACTAGAATAATAAGATGCGTAACGGCCATACATTGGTTTTGCACTATGCAGCCACTTTTTTGGTGGCGGCAGTAATTGCTCTCTGAAAACAGTAAACAAAAAAGTTGTGCTAGAAGACGATTTTCGGTCCGAAATCAATTTTGATCTAAGAAACGATTCTGATTAATGTTTTGGTCAATTTCGTTGTAATATGAGCTAAATATTATTTAAAAATTGATGCCGTGACTATTATATTTTTTTAAGAAGTTGTTTTAATATTCTTTAGTTAAAATCGCCGCTCGAATTAGCTACCGTTTACAAATAAAAATTTGTTTTATTAATTATCTGTAATATATGTATTTTTTGGTACCCAGGGAACACCACGGGGAGGACATTACAATTGTAATGGGGTCGTATATTTATATGACCTTCGAGTCGACTTGAAATAATAAATGTTAAACATAAAATATTTCCATGTTCCCCAACTAAGCTAGTTTTCTAACTATTGCTTTTCGATATAATTTGCTCCTTTTTTTTGTACTCGATTGCCAGAGTAAAAATAATATAGATTTTTGTTTAGGAAGCATATTTTCTTGTAGCCTTATAATTCCCAACTAGTTCTAGTGAAGACTGTAAGGCATGTCTTCTAATTTACCCGTCGAGCAGTGAGTGTAGTGTATGTACCGGTGTATGTGTGCATGTATTCATGTATGCATGTATGCATGTATGCATGTATGCATGTATGCATGTATGTATGTATGTATGTATGTATGTATGTATGTATGTATGTATGTATGTATGTATGTATGTATGTATGTATGTATGTATGTATGTATGTATGTATGTATGTATGTATGTATGTATGTATGTATGTATGTATGTATGTATGTATGTATGTATGTATGTATGTATGTATGTATGTATGTATGTATGTATGTATGTATGTATGTATGTATGTATGTATGTATGTATGTATGTATGTATGTATGTATGTATGTATGTATGTATGTATGTATGTATGTATGTATGTATGTATGTATGTATGTATGTATGTATGTATGTATGTATGTATGTATGTATGTATGTATGTATGTATGTATGTATGTATGTATGTATGTATGTATGTATGTATGTATGTATGTATGTATGTATGTATGTATGTATGTATGTATGTATGTATGTATGTATGTATGTATGTATGTATGTATGTATGTATGTATGTATGTATGTATGTATGTATGTATGTATGTATGTATGTATGTATGTATGTATGTATGTATGTATGTATGTATGTATGTATGTATGTATGTATGTATGTATGAGTGAAATGGTGAGGTCTTTAAAGTGAGTAGTAAAAATTGTCTTAAATAAAGCCTATAAAATGCCCAAAACGTATTTGAAACGGCATTTGGCATAATGGCAACGTATGAATCAAACGTATGAATCAAAATCTGTCCTGTTTTTCACCCCTTTTTGAAATTATCAGCCTATTTTTGCCGTTTTTTTTTTCTCAATCTGTCCTTTTTTTTCAGAAAAATATTGGCATCACTGATGCATACAAGAGAGCTGCTGCCTCTAGAGCGCTCTCTCCTCTGGCTCTTGAACAAAAATTCGAGAGAACCTGGAGCCAGCTCGAAAAAATCGTGTGCAAATAATCGTACGGCGTTACGCATCTTATTATTCTAGTGTCTTTACTATTACTCACCAGCATGAAGGGATCCGCATGCGTGCTCGCGTTGGTCAAGCTGTAGAATAAAACTATGACCAGCGGGTTGAGAAGGTAAATAGCGTAGGACAGTCGACTGACATGTTGGAAGCCCTTGGCCTCCAGAAGGCGTGACCACCACACCCCCCGGCCACTACAGCTGCGCGCTATCATCCAGCATACACTGAGCGAAAAGAACAGGCGACCCATCACGAAAAGCGTGATGGCCATCAGGGGTCCAAGATCTCTTTTGACAGTCGAATAAATGCAAGCGAAGAAGACGAATAAGGCAAAGTGCCAGCTGGCACGTTCCTTTTGCTCACTGATCTCCAACTGGACTCGATTCTCTTGCAAAAGCCATGCCGTTGCAGCTCCCAGGATATATGGAAGGACCCTCACGAAGGGCGATGTGTAGATCTCCGTTCCAGTGGCAAAGGCCGCGTCGAAGGACAATTGGAACTTGATGCTCAGTCCGATGGCGTAGGACCAAGCGATGGTGGCCACAAAAGAAGAGACCACTAGGCCCTTGACTACCCTGGGATATCTGTTTGTGAATAAAAATGTTTTAGCTTAACACGGATTTATACTTTTAAATCATGGATTCAATCCCATACTTCACATAGAGGAAAAGCAGAGCGTTGGCCAGGATAAAGAACTGCATTTCGCAGGCCAAGGACCAACTCCAATTGGCGCACATGTCCCGATGGTCGAAGAGGTTTTGAATGAACAAAAGATTACGCCACCAGTGCCGAGTACACATCTCATCGAATCGCTCGTTGATGTGGTAAACTGAGACATCTCCAATATAGGCGTATACCAAGTCCACGGTGGCCATAACCACCAGGTAAAGTGGTCCAAGACGCAAGTAACGATGGAAGAGCAGTTTGCCAAAGAGCTTCAGATTTTCCCTGAAACTATTTCGACGAACTGCCTCCAATTGCAGCGAGTTCCTCAGGAAGTTAAATGTTTGCAGGAAGCCACTGTAGAAAATAAAAAAAGCACACTTGGAAAAAGGTGTATGGTTTCTATCAGAGCTCGAACCCACCTAATGGTAAAGAAGACATCCACGAGCAGAGGAGCCGAAGAGACGTATTGGAAAAAGGCCTGTTCTGCATATGAAATCAGCACCGTCTTATTGTGGACGGTGAAGTACATGAACCACACCACGTGGAAGACCATGATCCAAATAGCGCACACAGATCGCAGACCATTCATCAAGGGAATTTCATTCGGAGAATTCTCCCTCACCGCAAAAATTTTGGCCCAATTGGCGGGAACATCCCAGCAAGTTACATATTTCTGTAGTTTTTCCATTTGGAGCAGGGCGTTCAGGCCACGCCATATTTCCGATTCCGCAGGCGCCAAGTCGCGATCCCGATGATCCTCAGAAGTAGGTGGCAGTTTATTAGCGACATGCAGTTGTTGAGCACACAGCATCAGAGTTCCAGTGACCAAAATACAGCCCACCAAAAGTCGGAAGCTGGCCCTCTCGAAGAATTCTTCCTTCAGCTGCAGATCCTTCATGTAAACCACTTCCGGCCTAATGTCAAAGATCTCGTTTTCAGTGAACATTCCGCCAGCCACATAGTCCTGGGCTAGGCCCTGAACCTCTGCCGAACTGCAGGCGCTGGGCAGGCACAGGCCAATATGTATAATCTGCTCAGACATCAGCTTAATCTCCACTTGCCAGGGTGAATTGTGACGCAGATATAAAACCCGATAGTCCATGTCGAAGGGCGCCTGCTGGGTGATAATTCCATAGTGCATAACGCGATCGAAGTTCTTTGATAGGGTTATGCCCACGGGTCTTTGGACGCCGCGACAAGCTTCCCGACTTCCCAGCCAGTAGTTTTGACCATATACGAAGCCAGAGGGCTTTGTTCCCGAAGCATCCAGAACTGCGGGAAAATTCAATAACATTCTATTATTATTGCGAAAACTAATGAGCCCAAGCAATTAACAACATGTTAAAAGGTCTTGTGCTCAAGGGTTAAGCCCTCAATGCGAATTCGAAATTAATAATTCTTTGTCCCCAAGTAAGTAAGTAACAAAGCTGTTCCAATAGAGTTTCCGATGAGTAATGGGACTTTCACAATATAAAGAACACGATTATTAATTTGGAAATTTGATTAGAAGTTAGGCAATTCACAAGTAGTCATGAACTTACTTAGGTGTGAATCACATGTTTTTCCTTACGAGTAATATAAATATTTTTCGTGTTTAACTAATTTATGGGTACTGATTGGAGAACGTACGAGTACATTATTCTATTAAAGGTGATCTATCTAATAAAACTTATTCGGAATCATTCATTGCCTCTGGGGTCGTCAAAATGAATTTATTAAGAAGTCAACAAGTGTTTGTGCACTGAATGCTCTCCTTGGGACCATATGTATTTAAAAATATTTTTAATCAGCTCATTTACTCGACTCACCCTTCATGGCCCATGGCTGTTTGCCCAGTATGCCGCGCTGCATTTGTCGCAGCTGCGCGTGGCACTTTTGGCTGACACTGCTCTCGTTGGCCACTTTGGTGAGTCCGAAAATGACGGAGGTGCGAGTCAAATGGGTTTCGTGGGGCGAATGTATCTCAACCGTGGCAGGGGCATCCAAAATCTCCAATTCATCGGGCGGCGATTGCGACTTATTGAGTGCCTGACTGTGATATCGCTGCCAGGCTTGTGAGCTGGTGGTGGCCGACTG